TATTAAATCATTTAAGTGATTCCCGAAGCCTTAGTTATTGTTATTATTCATCTTAAACTCAAAGTTAGTTAACGATTATCTTCTTAAACAAAAAGTGAAAAGCCAAAAATATAAAACATAAATCAAAATCCCTGCACTTTACTCATTTCTTCATTTAAAGTTATCTACTCACGGACTAAATTAAACAACATTTCCTTGTGGATTCGACCCGGTATTTTACCGGAATTTATTACTATATAGGCACTTGTACACTTGCAAGTTTAGCCCAATCAGCAGCCTTTCTTCATCCTTGGAGATGGCAACAGTGATGGTGTCAATTCTCTGCCCGGCGCTGGCTGCCGGCTTGGTCAGTTTCAGGTAGCACGCCCGAGCTATCTTCTGGTTCCCTCGGGCGTAGCCGATACCGCCACTAATGGGGAACTTCATCCATAGATGTTTCATGGAGATGATGGCTTCCAAATCCTCTAGTGTTGGCCGCCCCCATATCAAATTGTGGGCGCACTCGAGGTTGACCACCATGAATTCCATGTCGATTTTGATGCGATGGGAGCCGTCGCCGACCTCCACGGGGAGGACTATCGTGCCCTCGGCGTCGATAGAGTCCCCGGTGAAGCCGGGCAATGGTGTTCGTATCGGCTTGAGAAGCGCCCTGTTCAGCTTTAGCTGCCTGAATGTGTCAAGGTACATGACATTGACGGAGTTGCCTGTGTCGATGTAGGTGCGATGGACGATGGAATCACCTATTTCGCACCGGATGACGAGGGTGTCCCTGTGTGATGAGGGCCCAGGAGGCAGTTCCTTGTCGGTGAAGGTGATCGCCTCCGCCCGTTGCTTCTTCGGCTTGGGGGAGCGTGGGACACCTCTCCTATATAAAGGGACTGAGCCCATTTTTTCCTCTGGGTGGCCGAATCCCCCCTGGTGTTACCTCCCACAATGAGGTTGACGTGATTCTTCTTTGAGGGGGGCTCTTCGAAGTCCTCGTCGTCATCGCTGAGCCTGCCGATTTCACGCTTCTTCGTAGAGGGTTCGCCCCCATGTTTGGCGGTGTTTACCCAAGTATTTTTGCGCGAGCCACCTTTAACAAACTGGGAGAGTTCCCCCTGACGAATCAGCTTCTCGATGTGCCTCTTCAGAGTGACACAATCGTCTGTGTTGTGGGAGGTGTTCCGGTGATAACGGCAGTAGGTGCCGCCCTGATGGGCATCATAGATTTCCTTCGCCGGCCGAGGATCTCGCTCAATGAGGTCCTGCTCCTCGGCGTAGTCGAGGATGGTGCTGACCGAGTGGGTAAGTGGTGTTTTCGGCCTCTCCATCCCCGGCCGCCATATGCGGTCTTTGTTCTTTCCGCCAGATCCATGGCGGCCCTGTCCTCCCTGACCTCGGTCCCCGACCGGGGGTGCGCCTGCAGCTGGTGTAGCACCCGTCTTCTTGGAGGGGTGCCCTCCGTCTTTCTTGTGGCTGTGAAGCTCGTCGGCATCGGCGTACAAGTTCCCTCGCTGAAGCGCCTTTAGGTAGGACCTCAGAGGGTCAGTGATGAGGCTCCTTGCATATGGGGTGCTGTGGAGGGCCCCCTGGAAGAGTACGAGGAGGGTGCGCTCATCGGCCCCCTCGACCTCATTAGTCTCCCTCGTCCACCGGTCGATGAATGATCGGAGTGATTCGTCGTGGTGCTGCTTGACGGAGAGAAGATGGGTAAAGTATTTCTTCGCGCGCTTCCTTCCGGCAAAGTGAGTGAGGAAGCGCTGGGCAAGGTCTTGCCACGAGTCTATGCTCCCCTCGGGGAGTGCGTTGAACCACTCATACGCTGGCCCTTCGAGAGTGGAAAGGAACCAACGGCAGAGGTATTCATTTGACGCGTTCACCATCAACATGTTGTTCTGGTAGCGGATGAAGTGCTCCTGGGGGTCGGAGCGGCCGTCATAGGGCTTGATGGCGTTTCCCCGGTACTTCTCAGGGATAGGGGCCGAGAGTACCCTGGCGGTGAAGGGGGTCCTCGTCCTAACCTGGATGATGGGGTCCCCTCGTCCTTCGGCCAACCCCCTCTCAAGGATAGTGACCTTGTTCAGAAGGGCGTTGAAACCTGGATCTCTGGATGAGTTGCCGGTGGGCGTGGCGGCCAGCTGCTTGGCCTCCATCTTGGCGAGCCTCCGCTCGAGTTGGGCGATCACCTCGTCCCTGGGGTCCTTGGCGGCCACGGTGGCGCCCTGAGTTTGCAAGCGGGCTGCATGAGCCATGTTGATTTGATGACGGACATCATCCTCGTGCAGTTTTCCCTTCCCTTTGTCCAGGCGGGGCCGATCCGCTGTCCGGGATACTGACCCCAAGCTTTCCCTGGGTGAGCCAAGCTCACGCCGCCCAATCCGCCCCGCCATCCTCTCCGAAGCAGGCCGACGACACGTGTCACCTAGCCTGTTAAAGGCTGAGGCTTTTCCACACGCTGGGGCCGGTCCGGCCCGAAGAGGGGAAGCAGGGTGGGAGTGGGACGACGTCGTGTCCTGGGGCACCACCCCCTCGTCGTTGTCTAGCCTAACGGCCAACGGCTGGGGTTGAGGAGGTGGCGTCGTGTTCTCCCCCGTCCTTGGCTTGAGTGCGCTGAGGACGGTGGGATTCTGGGCCAGACTGGCGATGATGGCCGAGAGTGCGGCCTGAAGCTGAGGGTCAACCGCAGGTGAGGCCGGTTGCGCCGAGGCGTCCCCCTTTTCCGCGTGCTTTTTGTCCAGGCCGAGGCGGGCGTCCAGAGCGCCGCCATTAAGCTTGTTGCGCAAGTCTCCCGCAAGGTCGATGGCTTCCTGGAAGACGTCTCCCTCGGCGGCCTTGTCGGCCGTTGCGTCCTCCTCGTGTTTCGGATGCTCTTGGGCCTCAGGGATGGCTTTGCCGAGGAGGTTATGGTTTGACTTAGTTCTTCCCATTATCAGTTAGATGTGCTTGGTAGCGACGAAAGAGGCTAACTTGATTGTTCTAGCTCTCAACGAGAGCACCAAATGATAGACTATAAGTCTAGAGAGAAGGGAGAGCTAGAGAGAGAAGTTCTATATTTGCTTTGTATTAATGAATTTGTGAACCCCCACAACTACTCCTAGAGGGAGTATTTATAGGGAAAATTAGGACTAGGCTCCCAAGTCTTGGGCTTGGGAGGCCCATTTACAACAGGGCCACTAATGGGCCGGATACAAAGTACATAGAAAAGATTAAGTGTAAAGTCCTATTCTGGAGGCCATCTGTGGCCGATGAGGGCACGGCCGACGAGGGCATGGCCGACGAAGACTCGGCCGACGAGGTCACCCGGCTCTTCCTAGCTTCAGGATCACATTCTGAGTAGACTTCTTTCTGGTTGATGAGGGTCATCTGGCCGACGGAGGTCCCACCAGGTGGTCGTGGTATCTTTTGTTCTTCCGAGTATGTGGGCCATGGGGTCCAGGCCCATATACTCCATCACTCAAATATCAATTACAACCTTTACTTTTTCAACCACTTGATTAATAATTGTGCCAAATCAAAACAAGAGTTAGAAGACACATAAGATGAGATTGCGTTAATAGTTTATATTAGGGGTCAACATATTCCAATTCAGACCGGAAACCCGGACCGGTCGATCTATACCGGAACTAGACCGGTTATATACAGGTTCGGTCTTCTGTTAAAGATTTTGAAGTTTTTCGGTCCCGGTCCTGTCCAAACCCGAAGTATTTAGGTCCAAATCGGTTGGACTGTAATTAATTAATTATTGTTATGTTTAAATATATTTTCTTAATAAAATCTATTAGTATGTAATAAGTATTAAAAACTTATTAGATTTAATTTATTTTACTATTTATTCAAGAAAGTTTTATATTTAAATAAAATTAATAGCCATCAAAGTTAATTTTTTATATAAAAAAGTTGCTATTTTTAATTAAATCTAATCCGGTCCGGATAATCCATGAATAAATCACTTTAGAAGTTGTTCTCTTCGCATAATCTGAATTTTTTAAGTTCCAATATGATCTGAATCTTCTTCTAAAAAAAATATGATTCGAATCTTTGTGATCTTATCTGATATTAATCTTTAAGATCTGATCTGAACCATTCTGATCTGGTCTGATCTGATCTGAATCTTTCTGATCTGATCTGAATCCTTTTGATCTGATCTGAATCTTTCTGATCTAATCTGATTTGAATATTTCTATAATTATAATTGTAATTATAAAGATTATAATTATAATTAAAGCCATAATTACAAAAAATATAGAATTATAATTATAAAAATTTGTAATTAAAACTAAAATTAAATAATTATACCTATTACACTCATTATAATTATAGCTATAATTTTAATTTTAATTGTACTTTTAATTATAATTATTTCTGTAATTATAATTGCAATTATAATTATAATATCCATTTCTATAATTATAATTATAATTACTCCGTATAACAATACTAATGATACTAATGATGATGATGATAATTAAAATAATACTAATAATAACAATAATAACAGTAACAACAACAGTAAGAATATAATAATAACAATTTATTATTATTATTATTATTATTATTATTATTATTATTATTATCATCATCATAATAATAATAAAAGTGATAAATCATGTTTGAATTTTTCTGATCTGAATCTTTCTGATCTGATCTGAATTTTTCTAATCTGATCTGAATGTTTCTGATCTGATCTTATCTGATTTGAATTTTTCTGATCTGATCTGAATGCTTCTGATCTAATCTGATTTGATCTGAATTTTTCTGATTGATTTGATCAGATCTGAATTGAATAAAATAAGAATAAACAATAAGTAATAAGACTAAGACGAACAAAACAACTTCTTAATCTTCCGTCCACTATTTTTTAGAATTACGGTTCTTGGCTAACCGGTCTGGTTCAGTCTTGGACGGGTGTTCACTCCCACTTAATCCGAGTATTAATGACTTTAATGTGATAGAAAAATCTGAAGTTTGATTTTTCTAAAAATAGAGCGATATTCCACGACACGTGCCTAAATCCCAATATTATACTCACCGCATGTGTATAGATATATAGATACAGATGCATATATAGTATGCTGGATTGGTGGTATCCCCTGTAATTGTTTTTGTTCGTTTGGCGCGCGACTTGGTTAAAATGCCGACTACCCTGAAAAGGAAACGCTCCCCGTCGCCGCCTCCGCCTTGCAATCATGGCGCCGCCGCCGTTCGCGGACGGGGTCCATACCCAGATTTCCCCAAACCTACCATGGAAGATTGCCGGGGCGTGCTGGATGACCTTATGGCCCTCCACGGCTTTCCCAAGGACTTCCTCAAGTATCGCAAACAGAGACTTCTGCTAAACGAGAAATCCCCTGTTCTTGACCTCAACCTCCCTAATCCTGAGGAAGACGGTGACGATGCCGACGGAGTTTTCCAAGAGAGTGTGCTGGATGGTCTAGTGGGCGCCATACTGTCGCAGAACACCACCGAGGTCAATGCTCGGAGGGCTTTCAGTACTCTCAAATTTTCTTTCCCCACATGGGAAGATGTATGTTTTCACTGAATTTAATTTTGTTATTCATTAGTTGTTATATGTTGAACGATCTCTTAGATAATGGGTCGTGCTTTAAATCTCTGGAAGGAATATTTTCACCGAATTGCAGTTTAGATCAATTTGCCTCCATGTATATATATTTTTGAATTAGCAACTCAAGTGGGCCTTGTCCCATCTGTTGTTGTGAGTCCGAGATGTCACGAGTTCAAATCTTGGAAGCCGCCTCTTCTTTGCACCGGGTTGGTCCCCGTTTTAGCAACACAAGTACTTCTGCTGTTTGCTGAAGAGATTTTTAGCCATGAATTGTGTTTATACAATACTTGTATGCCAGTGGAATGGTTCAATTTATGCTTAATAGACTACTTATATTGCATGAGTGTAGTGCACTCAGATAAATTTACCTTTTCTGTCTCATCATTTTCCTGTGGTTGTCTGTCTTGTACATCTGCAAGGTTCATGCTGCTGAGCCAAAGTTAGTTGAAGAAGCTATAAAATGTGGGGGCCTTGCACCAAGCAAAACAGCTTGTATTAAGAACATCTTGAAATGCTTGCTTGAGAAAAAAGGGAAGTTGTGCCTGGAGTACCTTAGAGATCTATCTATTGTGGAAATCAAGAAAGAGCTTTCATGCTTTGGTGGAGTTGGACCTAAAACGGTAATCAACAAATTATCCTCGTGTTTAGGCAGTTATGTGTGGATGATCTTTATTCAGATGCTTTACTCTCAGCCTAATTGATTGCGTTGTTTGTCATTAATGAAGAACTATACTAGGTCTTTACAAGGAATTATAACTCTTAAAGGCTGGAGGTCATTTTTTACAGAATTCCTTCACTGTAACCTTTATAATGGTAAAACAGTTGAGTGGCTTAAATCACAATGTATATATTAATGAAACCATCAGAATTCCCTCAAGTTTTCTTCTTGAATTATTAGGAGACAAGTTATATCAACATCTATAAATAAATGTTGAACTTGGTGTGGTGGCTAGGTACTTGCCTCATGATTTCAATCACTATGTGGTCATGTAAAATAGTCATGGTTTCAAGGTTTGAGTGATAACCCTTTGAAAATGGAGGTGAGGGAGTTCATATCTTTCTATGCATAACGCAGGAGGATCCACACACACTGTATAACCTAGTTGAGACCACTGTCATAAGACTTGTTATGTGTGCAATTGTATGCAAAAAGCACTTGAAACAACACTCAGATGCGTGACAAAAAAGCACGATAAGGGAATGAAGAAAGTGGCACATGGAATACCAATACATGTTGACGTAGAAGTTTTCCATATTTGTTAAAAACATTAGGTTTCACAATAGGTGTTCACATGTTAGATACTGATTTACTCCGTATAATATTTCCATTATGAGTTCACAGTATTGAAATAATTATATAATCTTTATATACTCGCATAGTTTAGAGTATCATAAAAGTCAAGCCGAATAAAGTTCCATATCCAATGTTATTAGGAAACTTCATAATACATTATGTAGATGCATTACATTGCGTACTGTAAAATAAATTTCTTGAATATTTTATTTACTGTAAATAAAAGTTTCATAATGAACTAGTCAAGCAACCTCAACCTTTGTGTTGATCTATTACCATTTCAGCATCTTTCATTGTCATATCCCACCCCACGCAAAACAAAATCTTTGACCGCTGTGAAAACTCATAATATATTATAAATGATTCCTGGACTAACACCATAAGGGGATCGCCAGGATATGCCTATTGTGTACTGTAAGCATCCATAGCTTATGCTCATGCAAAGCTTATCAGACATGTCAAAAATATTTCACCGTGCGTTGTCAACTTGTCATATGGCGTAAGGTGTAATTTATTGTGGAATTACATGAACTCTTTGAAGTTACAGTTTTTGGCATTTTTCAGTGTGGAATATAAATCGATTATGGTTTGCACACACATCCTAGATTCGTAGTTTCATACCATAGGAATACCAATTTTTTTAAGTTCTCCCAAGCGGCACGTTTCATATTTTCAGAAGGGTGTTGGTTTCTCAGCGATGGTTTACTGTCTAAAAAACAATTGGAGCATATGCATACCTGATGAAGGACTAAAAAATTACTGATTACTCAAATAAACTGGTAGTTAATCAACTTCACTGTATGGTCAACTGCTTTAATTGGACTGCACATTAAGGCACTAGAAACATAAGTTGCTGCCCATAAGTCTAATTTTTGGCCAGGAAAAGTGGTAGACAACGATCAGGAGCATGAATACACTAGGTCTAGTTCTCTTTTTAGACACCTTTGGCCTTTCACCCCTCATTTTATGGGCATGAGTTTTGTAAGCGGGACTGCCTTTTAAAGTGTTCAGACTTCTTATACTCCCCCTAATAGCTAAAACTGTGGCCCCTTCCAGAGTTTTCCTTTGTATATCTGCTGTTTTCAGATTATAGCCGACCTCAAAATCTTTTGGGACTAAGACTTGGAGGTTGTTGTATATGCTGTTTTCAGATTGACCTTAATAACTGATTCTTTTCTAGCAACTTTGTTCTTCAATGGTGTACACTTTTATTACTCAGACTTGTGGCATGAAATATAGTAATTATAAAAAATATTGTAAATTTGTAATGAATATTGTAATTATATAAAAAAAAAGGCTAATAGTATACAAAAAAGAAAATTGACAGAAAACCTCAGTCTCATACTTCAGGATATGATATACTGCAGGTGGCTTGTGTCTTGATGTTTCATCTACAGCAAGATGATTTTCCTGTAGACACACATGTAAGCTTATTATTTATTTATAGTTCTATTTCCCATCAGTTTTGCGGGATAAATGATGGGGGCGGGAATTAGATTCTTAATTACAACAGTTTATGTAACAGGTCTATCAGATTGCGAAGACGGTTGGTTGGGTTCCAGCAGAGGCAAACTTGAACAAGACGTATCTGCATCTCAATCAACGAATTCCAAATGAATTGAAATTTGACCTGAACTGTCTACTGTACACCCATGGCAAGGCCTGTGGGCAATGCTCGCGGAGAGGATCTGAAAAAGCCAAAAAGGATGCCAAAAGTGAAGACCACACCATCCCTTGCCCTTTGTTGAAATACAAGCCTCTAATGCTCCAAAATGGTTAAATGGTAGTAGTGTACAAAATTACAAATTACATTATTTTATCATGTGCATAAGTAGTTCCAAAATGATTTTAATGGCTAATCATGTTACATTTCCATTGTGCTACTCTCTGATGATCACAATGATTTTTTCCTTTTACATGCCCCGCCATATGCTTGATTTTGTTCCCTATGATTATGAGATCTTTGCAAGTTCCATGTACAAATTTCACATCATAATGTAATCAAAGTATAGTTTACCAGGTAGGTACGGGGACTTAGGAATCATCTTTTTTCTTGTATGTATATGTTTACAAGTTACAAGACCTAACCATTTCTGGAATATGGGGGCGAATTATGTTTCAGTTTGATCCCCCCTTTTAGGAAAGATTTATTATATAATGTTTCACTTATTCAATTCAAGTCCTGGTCAATAATCATACCTATTCTCAACCATACTTCTTACCTTCTTAATAAGCCTGTGAACTTATAATGTTTCACTTATGTCAATCCAAGTCTTAGTCACACACTAAATGTTGACGAGTAAATTCCCTAAATAGGATTAACAAAGTTTTGAAATTCCAAAATAGGACTATCATGTTTTTTATTCCCTAAATAGGAGTAAATTTCTGCCAAGTTTGCTTGCATTACTAGGCTTTTAAACATGACATTTTTTTCCAAACTTGGCAGATTACTCATATTTAAGGAATAAAAAACATGATACTCCTATTCTGGAATTTGAAAGCGTTTTTACTCCTATTTAGGGCAATTTCTAAATGTTGACCAATCAATTTGCTAAGCTTAGGCCCTAAAATAGTTAAATTTTACCTGCACGCTGACTTGAAGTCAATAGTTAAATTTTACCAAAATGCGGAGTAATAATTAACTGTGTAGGTTTGAACCAAACCATAATTTGACCCATGGGCAAATTATACCACCGACACATGAGGAGACACACTTTTAAGAAGTGTCGAACATAAACAAAGATGTGAAATGGGGGCAAGTGTCCCCACAATTACTCCAAAAACCACTACTAGTACTTATGCTTGTATTCGGTTGAATTAGTTTTTAGATGAATGTTTAGACACAAATATTGCGGTCATCAAGAAAAATGAATTACTATTAAATGTCTCATGCCCAAATCTAAACTATTTTGATCTTGATTTTTGTTAAATAGAGTAACTTGAAATGAAATTGTTTGAGTTTTTTAGATATACAACATCGAAACAAGATGATATTGAAATGAAGGGCACACTATCACCATATTATATGAACTATTTTATTGTTATTTTTACACCCCCTTCGTCCTTAAATGGAGTGCTCATTTCAGTTTATGATGAGTAATTGAGGGTATAGTTAACTTTTTCTTAATAATATCTGAATTAGTACAGATAATTGAAACTTATGAAAATAACATTGAATCACAAAAACTAATAAAGTAAATGGAATCCCAAAATTCAATAAGAACGCTACCAAAAGATAAGAATTTTGACACGGATTAGTCACATTGCATAGACTTATGCCATGCTTCGGGCCAAGTATCTCGAGATGAAGAGACTTTAACCAGGACTTTATCATAGACTAGGCACAAATTCATATATAATTGCAAAATTTGTGCCAAAAAGAATTTTTGAAGTGGTCACATAGAGTCGTGATCAAAATTTGTGCCAATGTGTCACAATCTGATCCAAGCCCAATATTCTTTTATTTTAGAATATGATAAAATTTGAATATACAAAACTTCAATTTGTTACAATAAAATTTGTTGCACGATTTGTATGGTCAGATACGATCCTAGTTTTGGACCGTAACTCAAGTCACTAGTTTTATGATATAATTGGAACTTTAATATGAGATCAGAAATGAGTAAGATTGATACCAACCTTATTTTTGGGACAATTGTGATATCATATCTCAAACAAATAAAAATAAAACTTGTTTCACACCTTTTAAGGTTGTACACAATTCGAAAAAAAGGCTGGACACAATCCTAGATTTGAACAGTAATTTGATAGTTAATTATTTGTTATGATACACAAGATACATGATATTCTAATAAGAAATCAGAAATAGTATAAAAATGATAAGGTTCTCGTTAGTTTATACATAGAGTGTTACTAAAGAATTCCAGTCCTAATTCTGTTTTTCTTTTAAGAAGTTGAATATTCTCATTTAAATTCTCTAAGGTCTTGTTTGGTTCAAAGGAGGGGAGGGGAGGGGAGAGTCAAGGAGGGAAGGGAAGGGAGGGGGAAAGAAGGATTTGGATAAAAATTTGTGTTTGGTTAGAGGAAATAGGAGGAAAGGTTTAATGAAAATATTTTCGCAATTCACTTTTATTCGATAGCTTACTTAAAAAAATAGATTTATGTCTAACTATTGTGATTAGTACTCCTATGGTCATGGGTCATAATTTTATTTAATTTGATTTTTTGCTTTTTTAATTTTATAATTTTTAATTTTTCAGTTTGGATTTTTTAATTTATAATTTTTTAAATTTTTAAATTTTTAAATTTTTTATTTTTAAATTTTTAAATTTTTCAATCTTTAATTTTTTAAATTTTTAAATTTTAAAAATTTTCAAAACTTTTTATTTTTTACCTTTTTATATTATAACGTTTTGTTCATTCAAATAGGAGATGGATAGTTTGTGGTTATCAACATGTTTCATCCGAAATACCCCGATTTGGGGGATTTAGAATGGGAGGAAGCGGAGGATTTTGAAAGTCTTCCACTTTCCTTCCCTTCCCCCTATTTCCTTCGACCAATCACACATAAATCCCCCACTTTTCTCCCCTCCCCTCCGAAACTCTCCAACCAAACAGGACCTAAATGAAGTGTTTATCAGACCTCGTATAAAAAATCTACATGGCTCAAAACCGGCACTACTTGATCCTGTTGCGGTTGTAATTCTTCAATATGAACAAGTGAACTAATAAGACTTGAACCGGATCACACTCAAGCCACCTTTATCCTTCCCCATGTCAAATATTTTAGGTCCGCCAGTGACTCTCATCATACATTAATTAAGCTTCTCATTTTCTTTTGATACTTGAATTAATTAAGGAAATACATTATATGGTAAAGATTTGTCTACAAAATGAAAGAAACAATACCAATTGTATAATTGTTTTCTTTAAAGAAAGTGAAAGTTTACTTTGAAATATTCAAAAGGGGAAAATGAGATCCTTATTTAGCAACTCTATATTCCTTTTTCAACTGTTCCAAATAAAACTTCTAACTTTGGACTTAGCTTGTATCTCTAATTTTATGTGTCATGTGAGTGTAACACTTATAATCTTTTCTTTATTCGTTTCCCGCAAACAGGTTTGATAAAGTGTGTAACATGAGTGCTTTGTAGTTTCAATTTCTAACAATTGCGTTGCGGGTAACTGTACTTAGCAAGATATTTTTATAGTATAAAACACAAACACTTCCATGTGTCAATCATATTTAGGTTAATGTTCAATTCAATTTATTATGGATACACTATTATTACATCCTTCTAACTTTATTAGTTTGTGTAGTGCCTACACTCATTTCCATAGAGAAATTTAAAGAGTATAAAGTTTTTTGATGATTAGTTTTGCTTGGTTTGTAACATTTACTTTTTGCGACAGTCAACTCTGTTACTCATTCGCTTACTAGCTAATCATTATTACAACTATAGATTTATCATCATTCTCATTGTCTAGTACTAGATACTAATCAATAATGTTAATAAAAATAGAGTTGAATTATTAATAAATATGGGCTCAAACACCATCAATGACCTCATTATGTTACTTCTCAAAATGCACTTGAATGAGATTTTAATTAGAAAGAATGACCCAAATTAAATATGATTAGTAGACTTTCAATAGACAGATATATCACCAGTTTTTGAATAGACAAATTTATGACTTCACCCCAGCTCAATACCACCCAGCCTACACTCTTCCTTTACCCAGCGGACTCTGCGATCGATCTCAATCCGTGCATATGTGAGCCTCAACCTCGCATCTCCAGGAGCTTCCCCGCCTCATCTGCAATCAGGGGAGGTTGGCGCCTCCTACTTCAGTGCACCAGACGTCGTCTCCGCATGTCATCACCTCCGCTTGCCTTCAAGTCGCAACTTGCCGCTCTTATTCTTACTCTTCTCCATTTCTGTTAGATCGGCGACGACTATGATTGGGGCCGCTGCAGCCGGCGGAGGTGAGTCTAGGGTCTGGCTGGGCAAGGGCAGGACAAGGGCCGTGGCCTGTGGGTAGTGACGGCGGGGCATGGTGTAACACTTGAGATTTAATTTAAACGGATTAATAGTACTACTCATACCAATAAGGTGCATCTCCTTTTAAGGGAGCTCATTAGCCAAGAACTCCAAAGTTAAGCGTGCTTGCACGGGAGTAGTCTTGGGATGGGTGACCCCCTGGGAAGTTTCTCAGGGCGCGCACGAGTGAGGACAAAGTGCGCGGAAAAGGCTAGTGGCGGTTTGTGAGGACAGTACTAGAGGTCAGAAGTAACTATTTCGGGGCCTACGGGGCCGGGATGTTACACATGGGCGCATGGGTTTTCGAGCAGTAGCTTCATAGTGGAAGGATCGGTCGGGTTGGGGCAGGGGAGGGGGCAATAGGCATGGGGAATGGCAGTGGGATGGAGGGGCGGCGGTGGCGACGGACTGTAGGTGGTGGCCGGGGTAGCAGGAGCCGACGATGGAAGTGAGGCTGGGGGCTGGGGTAAGCGGGAGAGGGGTTGGTGTTGGTGTTGGAGTGGGGCTGACGGTGATGGACGACGGTGGTTTCGAGTTGTGGTTGTGGCCAGCAGAGGTGTCACCGCGGAGGTGTCACTGTGACCGGGGTAGCAGGGGCCAGCAGTGGTGGATGGTGGTGGTTTCTGGTGTGGAGGTGTCACTGTGGCCGGTGGTGGTGGTGGTGGTGACCCAGGCAATGGCGACGACAGTGACACGGCGGCAGTGACATGGGCGATGGCGGCGACAATGACATGGAAGTGATGCCGTGACATTAATAAGCATCTTAGTCACATTTTTGCCCAAATATAAATGTGATCACTTTTTTGGAAATTAGCTTAAATTTAGTAATATTGAAGGAAAAACTCCTTTTAATTATTATCTAGATATACATGACATTATTTAATAAGAAGCTTAAGCCACAAAGGAGGTTGTACTTTTTTATTCCTCATACTCATTTTGGCCAAAATTTGTGAAATGGAGGGATTATAAAAGAGAGAATTGTTGAAATAGGACTAAATCAAAGTGAAATTTTAAAAACAGGACTACTAGG